CCCTTGAGGGCAGTCCTGGCTGTAGAGTCAGCACCAATAGAATTAGGTTGATGTGAGCTGCCCATGTCGCCCTAACACCGCAGTGTGAACCAAGCCCCAGAACCCGCCCTGCAGAGCCTGGTCCCTACCTTGCAATCCTGGGCAGCCTCCTCGACGGGCAGCACCTTGTGTGCTTGGTGCGCCCGGGACTCTCTGCAGATCACACAGATGGGGGCTTGATCCTCCTGGCAAAAGAGCTTCAGGGCCTCCTGGTGCCTCTCGCACCTTGGCTGCTCTTCGAGCGCTGGCCCCGCCGGGAGCCTCAGGCGTTTCACCAGCTCCACCAAGTTTCCTAGCTGGCAGTTGGGCCGCAGGTGTCTCTGTGTGATTGTCTCTCTGCACTGGGGCAGAAGTTGGGCTCCGACTCTCCCCAGCACTGGCTGAGGCAGGCCCGGCAGAAGTTGTGCCCACACTCAATGGTCACAGGGTCTGTGAAACACTCCAGGCAGATGGGACACGTCACCTCGTCCTGGAAGCTCCTGGCCAGGTCCCTGGCAGCCATGGCCCCTCCGCAACCCCACCCTGCAGGTTGGTTTTGTTTCCCGATCAGAAGAAGCAGCGTAGCCTGTTCCAGCTGCTTTTTTTTTTTCCTAAGCAGGTTGCACAACTGGGAGCCAATCACACTTTCTGGATGGAAATGAAGAAAGAAAAAACTAAAGTCAGAGCCCCAGAAATGGCCCAAACCAGCACCAAGCTACCCAAGAAAACTCCCTGGCAGTTAGACACACAGAACCTTGCCTGTTTAAAAGTCTCAGGGGGAGCTGTGTTTGTAACTAAAAGAAGCTTAAAAAACGAGTTTTCATGGGTACCGCCCACTGCTCCATGTTTGCCATCAGAGGCAGCAGTTGTGCCACAAAAGCTCATAACACTCCCAAGATTTTTTACTAGTCTCTCAGATGCCACAGTACCAGGCATTTATTAATGCATCCAGAAGCTGGTGCTGCTCCCATTTATAGGCGTAGGCAGGAGCTGAAGGACTGCGTCCCTTGCAGCGAGCTGGGATTGGGGAGGGACCTTGGGGTGTCTATGCAAATTGTTTGCTTCTGCTTTTCTTAGGTGTGTTCACTGTCTGGTGGATGCAGTGGGGATTTGCTCAGTGTCATCAATGGGCTGGTCCCACGACCATAGTCAGTTATTGAGCGAAAATCCTCTCCGCTTTGGGGGTTTTCCTCACAGCTTTTAATTGCAGCAACGTCTCCTTTCCAGAGGGAAGCAACTGCCCTGAGTCATCCTCCTTCTTGTGGGCCTGAAGGGGCAGTGGGATTAACCCCCTCCTATTTACCACTCATGTTTCACAATCAAATTCTGTTCCCTTTTGCACCCAATAAAAGCAGGGTGCTGCTGAGGCATGTGACTCACCCCATCATTAATGATCATCAGAGCCAGGACCCATTTGGGGACCCATGTCTCCCAGCAGCTAAGGCAGGGCTGCCCCCCCCCCCAACAGGCTGTTTTATTGCCCCAGGTGGGATGGAGAATGGGGGTGATAAGGGCCATCCCAACCCAGGGGGCTGTTCTCTGCTTTGTTGTCCTGTTTCCCAGAGCAGGACCCAGAGTGGCCACAGACACCCGCACTGTTATAGTTCTAGCCTTCACAGACTCCTGCAGCAAGGAGTTCCACAGGTTGACTATTTGTTTTGTGAAGAAGAACTTTCTGTTATTAGTTTGAAGCCTGCTACCCATTCCTTTCCTTTGGTGTCCTCTAGTCCTTCTATTATGGGAACTAATGAAGAACTTTTCTTTATGCACCT